ATAAGCTGCCCTGTGCTTCACCAACTCAACCATCCAGTCCAGCCAAACCACTGGGACTCAGGAGACAGCGATGCAGGTGGGCTTTTAGAGTGGGGCCTACACATCTCTGAGTCTGCAAGACTGTCTTTTGAGACTGTCTTTTGTTGCACAGATTGTTTAATTTTTGGCTTGTGCTCCAAATCTAAAGGGGGTGTTCTTAAAACAGAGCTTTGAAAAGCTCTCCCATAAACTATTTCAAAAGGGCTTCACTTAAGCTCGCTTCTGGGTGCTACCCTAGTCCAGAGCACAGCAGTGGGGAGTGAGTGCCTGGTTCCATTTTGAATGCATTTCCTGGCATATTGTTTGCCAGGGTCTTCTTTATTGTGCAATTCATAGTCTCAGTCTTTCCTGTAGACAGAAGCCTCCAAATGCATGTAATTTCCATTGTATTTGTAGTGCCTGTCCCACCTTCTGGGAGATCTCAAAAGTGAACGACGGTCCGTGGTCACACCGAGTGCTGTGAGGAAGTCCAAACCTAGGAATTATTTCTTTAAGTAAAAGTGTGCCTACCTCACTTGCCTTCTCAGTTCTAGTGTGAAAGCCTCTGACCATCCAGAAAAAGTGTCCACAAAAACTCATAACATTTGAACTTCCTTTTGGTTTTAGGTATTTGCATAAAATCCATTTGCCAGTCATCTAATGAGCATAACCCTTTATATTGCACTCCTTTTTTTTTTCTCCTGGACTCATTACGTCTTAGGATTGTTTTTGGCACTTATTTGACAGGTTTGTGTGATCCTCTGAACAGTCCTTTGTGAATGAGGGCCCTTCAAATGTGGCATAAGAAGGTCCATCCAAGCATCCCTGCCATAATGTGTCCCTTAACTACAAGGAAACAAACTGGCTTGTTTCCCAGCATCAGCTATAGCTGAGGCTCCTCTCATGAAATAGTAATAGGTCGGGAGATGTCCAAGGAAGTCCCTGGGCCTCGAGCCTCCTCATTGGTCATCAGACTCCCCTTGCCTTTTTATCATTTCTCAGTGAGGGTTCTTCATCTCTACTTTCCCCTTTGACTTTGGGGCACACCTTTCACCACTGGCTCTCCCCTTGTAATAGGCACATAGATTGTTGCCTAGTGGGCCTCTTTTTTTCCCTTAAGGGTCCCAGCTCTTCTGATCTTGTCACCCTCTGTTTAAGAAATCTGTGTCCTGCATTATCTTGTTTCATGGGCATTGTAGACTTAAAGGTTATGTCTATCAGCTGAGAGGGATTCATTCCCAATGTCCCACCTACTGCTTGAGTTTTCTTCTAGTATTTGGGGCACTTTGTCCAAAAAAGGTCATGTTCACCATCCATATATTTTCTGATGCCTGTGGGTCAGCTTCAGTGTGCTTTCTACAGGCCTGGTAGATTCCTTCTAAAAATTCAGAAAGGGGCCCCATTTGTTTTTTTTTTTTTGAAGGGCCTGTGTCATACTCACGATCTTTTGTTTAGGCACCCATTTCCTAAACTTTCCAGTATGCACTTTATGTAGTGTTCTGGGAAAGCTAGGCCTCCACCATTTGGGTTGCGGTCAGGTTGTGTCAAAAGAATTGCCCCAGCTGGGTTGGGGGTCTCATTTGGATTCTCTTGGGGGAGACATTGGGCCTCTTCATTAGCCCTATTGGTAACCAGCCATCTCTCACCTGTGGTTAACAAGATGTTAAGGACAGCCTGTACATGTGCTCAGTACATATACAAGAGACAAAAAAAAAAAAAAAAAAAAAAAAAAGGCAGGCAAACTGGAACACATAGGCAAAACTTGACCCCACAACGCTATTGTTCCAAACGAGTGCTCACAAGCAAGCCCCGTTTTACCAACCTGTCCAGTAAGCAGTGGCCACCAAGCAATGACCTCCCAAAAGCTCCTGCACTCACCACCTGCACTCCAGTGCACAGCCCCAAACCTCAGGTGATCCTTCCTCCTTCACAGAGTCTGTTCCCTTTCCAGACTCATCTCCTGTCCACCTGCCAGGCATGTTTAAGTGGCTGATGCCTCTACTGGTTGTACAGAGGATTACCCAGACATGGGGGGCATCCACAGATCACTCCACAGGGCTTCAATCTACCGCAATTGTCTAGGGTTCCAGTGGAGTCGCCATTTTCTGTTACCAAACCCAACCAGTGGTGGGGAGGGTCCTGCCACTTGCTGCCTCTCAGGGAAAATTCCAAAGACAGAATTTGGTGGAAAAGAAAATATTTAATTGAACAGTCATATAATTTGCAAAAACAGCTATTTAAATCTTTGTCATTACAAGTATTATGTAGATTCAAGAATTGAAAATAACAAAAGAACAAAATCTGTATTGAAGAAGACATAAACTTTGGTCCCATTTAGTTTTTTTCTCCCTCTATTAAACCACTGATACTAATGTTTTAGACTGACAGGTCCATGCTGGAAGTGGGTGGACAGCAGCTGCTGGAAGGCCCACATGAGGGAGGGGCACGGGGCTTGCCTCTGACAGGCCCAAGTGTCCTTACCTCTTCCCTCACCATCCGCAATGTTTCAGGGTCAGGACCTCTAGCCCCCACTGGCTGAAAAGGGTGGGATAATTAAAACAGGAAACAGCATTTCTACACACTCCTTTTAAAATGATTTCTCCTGGAATCCCTTGAGAGGCCAGCATGAGTTTCCCTGGTTGCCTCGTTACTGCCCATTACAATCCGAGTCACTGACGCCTGCCCAATTTCCTGTGGTCAGGGCCATCCTTGGTTAAGCAGGAACTGCTGATATCTATAAAATACGTCTAAGGAAACTTTGAATGCATGCATCTTCCATGAGCTTAGTACAATTTCTTTTAACTCATTTCATGGTAAGACACAGTGTAAAGTTTCCATTCTGTTACAAGATGACTTCTTGGAATCTCAACTTCATGTGTATGTCAAACAAGGGAACAGTGTAAAAGGGAAGAAGATTCTTAAGAAAGGTTAGCTACTTTTCTCGGAAGCAGTGTAGCCAAGAGGGGGAAGAATGTCTCTCAGGTGTAACCTTTAAAGGAAAGTTTAGATTCTCAGAATTGAACTAGCTCTTCTGAATTTCCTGGGTTGCCTTGTGCTGTGGGTCCTCGGGAAACTCTGCAGCACCCCCAACTCCCCACCTCCTTTAACACCCTCCCCCATCCCACTGTCCCTGGGTAACTAGAGTCGGGGGCCACCCAGGTGTGAAGCCCAAATCCTGCTCCACTGTGAGGGGGAAAGAGGGCTCAGCAAAAACAGGTTGTCCCCTCTGCAGGGGAAAAGGGCCACTTGGTCCCTAGTGCTTTTGTGAGAAAGGCTCACTCTTTTGCAGTCAGTCTCAACCCAAGTTCAATACAGGTTGCCTAAATAAGGGTTGGAACTGAGGTGGGGGAGGGGTGATTTGTTGTTAAGGGGCACATGCATGATATGGAGGCCAATTGTGACCTGGCTGCCAATTGTGACCTGGCTGCCAATTGTTGGCATTTGCTCAGCATGTGGTGGCTGTGTCCCACTTATCTGGGTTGCTTGCTGTGCCCCACTTGCCTTTTTATCTTCTTGTATCTCGGACGTGTCCCTACCATGTCCGGGCTACATATCTGGGCCTCACGGCTCTTTTTCACATGGCAGCTGTTGTGGCTGCTGGTCCAGGCCGCTCCAGCTCTGCCTATACCCCTGGATCCTGTCATGCTGACCTCTGTTCCCCCAGGGCCCACTGAGCCCTGGCCTTTGGATCAGCACACACCCCCCATGGAACCATTTATGGCTGAAGATTTTGGTTCTATGATATTAACCCCAGAAGCCTCAGCTCAGCCTACAGAGGTCCCTGAGGAAATGGGAGCTTTTTCAACCCCTCAGGAGGCCCCCACTGAAAAACCAGAAGACCCTGAGGTGGGAAAACCCTCTGCAACCCAGGAGGATGCCTCAGCTGAGTCTACAGAGTCCTCTGAGTTTCATCAACCTGCTCATGTTTTTGGTGGATTGCGAGATCAGCATCCAACTGACACTTCAGTCCAGGAGAAGAGCTCAGGTAAGCTGCAATTTTCTGTTGCTGGTGTAGACCCTCCTTCAGTCCATCAGAAGGGTCCAGCTCTGCCTCCTAAATCATCTACAAACCATGAGATGACAGTCTCATCTCTAGATTCTGGTGAAGGTAAGCATCCTTATATGTACATGAAAAATGTGGATCTTGGGGACTTGAAAACACCAAAGCACCCTAAGAAGACTGAACCACCTCCATCTACTGAAATGGTCAACCCTCTCACTCAGCTGGGGGTCCCTCCAAAGGCCCCCGAGGAGATAGAGTTGTCTCCATTCCAGCAGGAGACCCTAGGTCAGCCTACTCTGGAGTCTGATGCTGTACTCCTGCAGCAGACTATAGCTTCTCCAAGGTACCCCGAGATGAGAAATCCATTTTCAGAGCCCTTTCAAGATGAACAACCAACCGACAATTTCTCAATTCCACCATTGGACCTGGAGCCCACCACAACACCAGAACCTACTGCTGAAGCTGAAGAACCTGTAGCCCTGCCTCAGACTATAGTTCCTCCGGAAAACCCTGAGGTGACATTTCCTCATCCAGAATCTGTTCCGCCTCAGCAACAAATCTTCTCTGATGCCACAGCTCTACCTTTAAACCTGGAGCTAACCACAACACCAGAATCTAATGAGGAAACTGAACTTCCTATAACCCTGCCACAGACTACAGCTCCTCCAGAGGGCCCTGATGTGACAATTCCACATCCAGAGCCTGTTCAGGTTCAGCAACCAACCTCCTCTGATGTCACCATTCCACCTCTGGACCTGGTGGTCACCACAACACCAGAACCTACTGAGGCCGAACATCATACAACCCAGAAGAAGACTAGAGCTCCTCCAATGAATCTGGAGGTGACATTTCTACATCCAGAGCCTGTTCAGGCTCAACAACCAATATCCTCTCACGTCACAGCTCCACCTTTGGACCTGGTGGTCACCGCAACACCAGAACCTACTGAGGCCGAACATCATACAACCCAGAAGAAGACTAGAGCTCCTCCAATGAATCTGGAGGTGACATTTCTACATCCAGAGCCTGTTCAGGCTCAACAACCAATATCCTCTCATGTCACAGCTCCACCTTTGGACCTGGTGGTCACCGCAACACCGGAACCTACTGAAGCCGAACATCATACAACCCAGAAGAAGACTAGAGCTCCTCCAATGAATCTGGAGGTGACATTTCTACATCCAGAGCCTGTTCAGGCTCAACAACCAATATCCTCTCATGTCACAGCTCCACCTTTGGACCTGGTGGTCACCGCAACACCAGAACCTAGTGTGGAGGCTGAACATCATATAGCCCCAAAGAAGACTACAGCTCCTCCAAGGAACCCAGAGGTGACATTTCCACATCCAGAGCCTGTCCAGGTTCAGCAAACTACCTTCTCTGATGTCACCGTTCCACCTAGGGACATGGAGCTCACCATAACACCAGAACCTAGTGAGGCTGAACATCGTACAACCCTGAAGAAGACTAGAGTTTCTCCAAATAAGCCACAGGTGACATTTCCACATCCAGAAGCTGGTCATGCTCAGCAAACAACCTTCTCTGATGTAAGAATTCCTCCTTTGAAACTGGAACTCACCATAACACGAGAACCTTCTGTGGAGGATAAACATCCTACAGCCCTGCTGCAGACTACAGCTCCTCCAAACCACCCTGAGGTGAGATTTCTTGTCCAGGATCAGCAGCCAACCATGACCGTAGTCACAGTTCAAGGACCAGGTCTGGTATTGACCAGGACACAGAAACCAGAAACATCCTGGACAGGTCCTTTAACGAATGAACAGAATGCCATCTTGAACCTTTGTAAGCTCTGTACCTGCTACAATAAGACGCTGTCATGTACTGGTCTCAGCCCAAAGCAGAGGCTGCAGAGAGTGCCTGTACTACACCCCGACATGTACAATGGCACTTTCACTGTCTTAAATTTCAAAGGAAACTCAATTTCCTCTCTTGATAAAGATACGTGGGAGTCATACCGTTGGGTCGAGAAACTAATCCTCAGTGAAAATAATTTGAGGGAATTACATAAGGATTCATTTGAAGGGCTTTTGTCCCTCCAGTATTTAGACTTGTCCTCTAATAAAATAGAACTTATTGAAATGAATACATTTGAATCCCTACCTTTTCTGCAACATATAAATCTTCATAACAATTTAATCACTAAAGTGAGATTTGGAACCTTTCAGGCCTGGCATGGAATGCAGTTTTTACACAAGATAAGTCTCAATCACAATCCTCTGACCACGATTGAAGATCCATATCTTTTTAAATTGCCAGCATTGAGGTATTTAGACTTGGGAACCACACAAGTGTCACTTACAACAGTTGAGAACATCCTCATGATGAGCCTTCACTTGGAAAAACTGATCCTACCTAACCATCTGGCCTGCTGCCTCTGCCAATTTAAAAATAATATTGAGGCTGTCAGCAAGACGGTCAAAGCCAACTGTGACGCTGAATGTCTGGGAAACACACATTGTGATGAAGAACTATATGTAGGAAATGCAGAAGGCTCGTTCATAAAAACCATAGAAGGCCGGGAGAAGAACAGCACTGAACTGACCATTGAGCCAGAGAGGGCGTCCTCAGGCACAAAGGGTGGTGGCTTATCAGCCCTCATGAACCTCCTGATGAAGCTTCTCACGGAACAAGAGGAGGTTAAGGTTTCCAAGGAAGACTTTGATACCGATCAGTGGAGAAGTGAGAGGACAGGAGCCCAGGCAGAGGAGGGAGAGCAGGAGTCACGCAAGCTCACCCAAGAAGTGCCAGGCTACGTACATCATAACAAACTGATCTTGGCAGCACCAGTGATTGCAGTAGCAGCAAGTTTTTTTCTCACTTACTGTTTAATTGCCATTTGTCATAGAAGAGCCTCAGAGGATGGTAAGGAAGGCAGGGGCTTTTTCTCAATTCTTGGACTTAAGAGACGCTCACCAGAACATGAGATGGAGGAGGGCGGTTTCTGGAGAAGGCGGCCGCTTTGGATTTGGGATATGTACTGGCCTCTCAACGCCATGCGTAAGACAGATGTGGAACAGAAGGAACACCTCAATGATGCATTGGATGACGAGTTGCTTGACAAAATGGAGAAGGATGAAGCCCTCACATCAACAACCAAGGTTGCTACATCAGACTCGGCTGCTGAGGAGACGGGTGAAGAAAGTGAAGGCTGACATCAACACCCAGTCATCCACCATCCTCAGATGACCTGCCAGTTGTACTGGGAAATGTTTTTCAGCCTTGCTGATGAAATACATTATTTTCTTCCTATTCATATGTGTCATAAATTTATAAGCAACTCTAGCCTTGAGGGAAGGTATTAAAATGTAAATAGTTCAGTACTTATGTACAAATAACAAGGGCTATGGGTAAGGAAAGCAGGGCTGAAGGTGGAATCCCTGTGGTAGCCAGTACTTCCAGGAGCAGCAGTGAGGCTAAACAAGAGTGAATTTTACCAAAGCAGACCAGTTGGCGTGGGGGGATCCTACTATAGCTCCCTCCCTGGCAAATCTCCAAAGGTAGAGTTCAGTGGAAAAGAAAGGCAACTTTTATGTAATGGCAAGTTTCTGCCTAAAATATTGAGTAACTAAAGTAGGGAGAAAGAAAGTCAGAGTATGACATCAAAAATAGCAACTGAAATACTTGTCATATCATTACTACACAGGCTTAAGAATGGAAAATAACACAAGAACAAAACTGTTCGCAGTGCACTTGATTATCACCAAGAGCTTTGGAAATAATGGCAAGTTTCTGCCTCAAAGCCTGTTCCCTGTAGGACACCAAAAGGAAAGTCACCCTGTCACCCTCTGTCAGCTCAGTTCAGGTCCCACCCAGAAGTAAATACTCATAGGTGGCTTAGCTGTTCCACAGTTGCCGTCCAGCTTCAGGCATGTCTGAGTCAGTGCCGCCAGGCCTCTGCTCACCTGTCTACACATGTCACTGCTTGCGGACCTGCTGGTGACCGTTGACATGCCCCTCCACCAGGGCAGGGTAACGAAACAACTACATTTTGCATCCAAGCTCTCTCAGTTTCGAAAGTTTTTCCCCAGAATCCCATGTGTGCCCAAAGCCAGTGGGGGTGACCAGCCACTCAACCTATGAGGGCCCGTGTCGGCCATAACTGCCTTTGCCCCTCACCAGGCTGCCATATTTAGCAAGGGGGCAAAGTCTCCAGTCACACAGGCCCAGCTCAAACCCCTCCGACAATTCTAGGGTTATATGTCACCCTGCTCCGAGAAGAGGGGCTCCTCCCTGTTAACTCCCCAATGCTGTCAGTCCCCGAGAACTGGAAAGCACATCATATTCAAACTATATTTAGGAAATGTGGAAGGTGTCTTTCATGAAAATCTTACAAGGCCAGGAAAAGAACAGCCTGAACTATTGAGCCTGAGAGACAGTCCTCAGGAGAAAAGAGCGGTGGCTTATCAGCCTTCATGAATCCCCTGGGGAAGCTTCTCACAGAATAAAGGAGGCTACAGTTTGAAAGGCAGACTGGGCACAGATTAGTGGAAGAGCCAGAGAATGGAAGCTCAGGGTGAAGAGATAGAGCAGGCTTTTTGTGACCTCTCCCAAGAAGAGCCAGGCTGGGTATATGAGAACAAACTGATCTTGGCAGGACCTGTGATTGGTTATAGGTTATTCTGGTGCTCTGTCCCCTGGCTCACCAGGTACCAGGTATTTACAATGTGCTTGCCCTCCTGTCTGTAAAGGATCATCCTCTTCTGGCCCCTCTCCTAGGTCTTTGGGGTTGTCAGAGTATTTGATTCCTGAGCCGACCTTCAAGGCTGGTATGGTCTACTCCCCTAAGCTCTTTAGCTCATGCACAAATGTGTGCCTTCTCTTGGTTTAATGGGTTCTCCACCCTTACAAGCTTGTGGAAAATTACATTGGGTTTTGTGATTTTCTATTTTATTAAAAAAGAACTGCCAATGGCTGTATCACTAGCAGGAAGGTGGGAGAGAGATTGGTTAAAGAAGAATGTATGAGAGCACTAATAGCCCAAAACTTCTCTCCTCGGGCATGTATTTTATTAAACATATTGGTGTAGCCACTTCACCATTCACTTGTCCTGTCAGCTTCCCAACCCGTATGAGGGTCAGGTAGAGGCTGCTGGGCTCCCTGCAGCTTAGCCCAGGTCCAAAGCTGCCCATTTCTCCCCCGTGCAGCACAGGTCCGTGGCTGCATGACTCCAAGTGATAATGCACAGGTCCCTCCACTCCTTCTGCAAAGGGAGTCACTACTAAATCACATTTAGGAAGTCAGTGAGACTTCAGTGCCTGAGTGAGTAAAAGAAATCCTGAAGAAACAAGAATTAGTAATCGACCTGAATGACCACAGATAAATGTTGGTGGTTTAGTAACTTGGTATGAAGAATGTTGCCAACCAGCATGGGACAATGATTCAGAGTCCCCCAGTGGAGCCCTGGGACTGGGAAACAGCCCAGCATGTTTTGCAGTGGGAGAGAGCAGGGAAATGCAGAAATCCTATCATACTGTCTGTTTTCTAGGTCAGCTCTTTCTGGAGAAGGCAGGCACTTACGCTAAGGGATATGTATAGACCTGTCAATGGCAGATGCAAGGAAAACATGGCACAGAAGCTACATGACACGAATTTGTGTGATGGGTGATGAGATTTTCAATAAGGATCATGAGTAAATCATTTGGGCAACTTGGAATTCTCGTCTAAGATAGTCAGGAGGGTTCCAGACAGAGTGAGCAGGGTCGTTTATTAGTTTGCTGATGCTGCTCTCAGTTCCTGCCCAAGTTAACACCCAAGGTTCTTACAGAGAATGAAAAACAAGTGTTTTTGTCTGTGTTGACCCAAAGGCCAGCAAATGTTTGCTGTGTCTACAGCACAGCCTGGGAATGGGGATAAGTGGAGGTTTGAGAATCCAGGAGGTGAGGAGAAACAAATGCGATAGTCCTGGGGATTCATTTCCTCTCCCCTTTCAGTAGCTCAGCAGAGAGCTAGCTCAGCAGGTACCAGCAGCAATGGAAAAGCAGAAGCCCCCTTTCTAATGAGATTATTTCATTCACTAGGCCGCTTCCATGTTGGTGATATAAGGGGTCCCCTGCCTCCCCTTTCCTATAAACTTGATGCAATCTACACAGGCTCCCTCTCTAAAGGAGCTCTAGCCATAGGACACGCGGTCTAACTGGTCTACCCTATCCCCTTCTCTGACAGCTTACCAACTGAGTAAATTCTGTTCTAGTTCTGCTTGTAAGTTCTCCCAACAGCAAAATCCTGCTTTAGATTTGCACATTTGTCCTCTTGACATGACACAGCGTCAAGGAATTTCGTGCCCTTGAAAATCTATGGGTTGATGGCATGGCAGATATAATAGTAAAAGGGAAGACTTGGAGCCTGGGGCCACAATCCCACACCATTACAAGGGCACCATGCAGGAATGCACCTGCACAGAGGGTCTCAGACTGTCTAGCTGAACCCCTGTGCCACACAGTGTGTTGATGATCTTGTGCAGTATAACAGATCCCATGAAAATAGTGGCTTAAAGCAATGATAAGCATTCCTTGCAATTTCTGCGAGTCAAGAATTTAGGAGTGGGCAGGCCAGTTCTGACTCTGGGTGTTTCGTGAGGTTCTCAGGAGCTGGGCTCAGGCTGAAATCACCTGAAGGCTCGAGAGAGGAAGGCTGGAGGGTCCACTTCAAGGTGCGTGTCTCTCACGTGGCTGCCCAGCTGGTGCCAGCTGTCGGAGCGAGGCCTCCGTTCCTCCCCATATAGACCTCTCTCTCTCTCTCTATTTGCTTGTATACGCGTAGACTTTCTGAAAGGATACACAAAGACTGGTGATGTTAGGCGTTTTGGGTGAAGGAATAGGATGGCTGTCGGACAGGAGTGGAAGAATGATTTTTGTACTTTTTACATTTTTCCTCTTGTTCTGTTTTTGAGTGTGGTCAGCACAGTATTTTAAAATTTAAAAATGTATAAAATTTACCATCGTAACCATTTTTTGGGTATAGTCCTGGGGCATTAAGTACATTCACCCTGCTGTGCAGCCATCTCCAGCATCCATGTCCAGGATGCTTGTCATCTGCAACAATGAAACTGTACCCAATCCTCTCCCCCAGCCCCTGGCAACCATCACCCTACTCTCCAGCCCTGGGCATTCGGCCACCCGGGTACCTCATACAGGTGGACCCATACACTGTTTGCCTTTTCCTCTTTGACTTCTTTCTCTTGGCATGGTGTCCTCAAGGTTTATCCATTGTAGCATGTGAAGGCGCTGAATAAAATTCTACTGTGTGTACCACATCTTCTTTGTCTGTTTCTCCCTCCATGGACGCCTTTGGTTCTACCTGTTTGTTATAGTGAAGAATGTTGCTGTCAATATGGGGTGCAAGTATCTCTTTGCAATCCTTCTATGTTTACATTGTTAAAGTATATGAATGTGCTACTTATTTAAAAAAAAATAACACATTAAAAATCCAAAGGATAACGTACAAAATTAAAACAGCGAAAGGAGTTCATTACCACCAAACCAAAGAACATACATGCATGTCGCATGGACATGGACAACAGTGTGGGCATTGCCTGAGGGAGCGGATGGTGCTGGGGGGAGGTGAGCAACGGGGAGAAAGTGGGACAACTGTCATAGGATAAAGAATGCAATGTAATAAAGGAGAAACACAAAAAATGCCCTGTGTATCTAGTAACCATAAAAAAGAATAGGCACCAAGCTAAGCTTATTTTCTTCCTTCCCCAAAGCAGTTCTCCTGGGCTTTTCTGTTCTCAAAATGGTATCGCATCCTCCTGATCAGCTAGTATCAGGCAGAGCTGGGGTAAGGTGAGGTATGCGAGCTGGGTGGGAATGGTTATGTCAGGTGAGGCTGAGAGGCTGAGTCCAGATAACACTGGAAAGAAATGCCAGATTTAAGGAGGCGCTAAGATTTAAGGAGGCGCAAGATTTAAGGAGGTGCAAGATTTAAGGAGGTGCTAACTCTCAGGGTCGGCCTTGGTCTTGGAACCCTAATCCATCTAATCCATCACCAGCTCCAGTCCCATCCCCCTCCATGTACCTCTCCTAGGCGTCCCTCTCTGCCCAGCTGGTGCTTGGCAGGTCAGGCCGATAAAAAGGATCAGGGAAACAGCTCCTTTCTAGTCTCACTGTGGCTCCTTTACTAAGGACCCAGTCATTTAACACCTGTATGCAGT